CACCTCATCAAGGTTCATTGAGGTGTTGGTGTCGCACTTTAAAGGCCGTTACACACTAGCTTATCGTGGACTATCTGTACTTGCAACCGGTCACAACTCAGCCAATAAGATGCCGAATTTTGATTAAAAGTTGATTGTTGAGCCCTAAATTCCCCACGACTATATATCCTGGGAAATACAGCTCCATGGTTGCTCGTTCTCCACCTTGCTACGGTTTCTGGGAATTTAGACGTGATTACTCTGGTAGCTGGGACGACCCTGCTGAACCAGCCTTTGTTGGGACAACGAGAAGTGAGCTATTAGAATCATCTGGGCGTGACATATATCTGCCAACGTTAGCACCAAGCCAAGTTTGATGCCACGTTAGCCAGGAACTTCGGTCTCCTAAATTGACATTCCCACGCTCAGCATCAGCTCGCACGAGAAAAAAAAATGGAAAGCGGCCCTTGAGTTCCCCGCGCTTCGTCTCCTCTTGCCTCCCTCTCCCGCTTACGGGCACAACATCGGATGGACCTCCCGATCGTATTGACACGAGTATCGTACGAATAACCCTTCCCCGGGCCTGCTCTCCATGAAGCTTGCCGCAGTGGGCTCGATTCCGTCGCCAAGTGGCCGAATGAGTTCCGGCTCCGCTCCCGCCACTCCATCTCCACCCCACCACAAGCGCGCAGTATCAGCGAACGTCCTTAATCGGGCGCGTCCGAGTAGGAGGGATGAATCAGGTGTCCATCATGCCCTCGTGCGGTTCTGCACAATGCCAAGCGTGCGACCCTCAGTCACACGGGTGTGAGGAAACCCGGATTTCAGACGTGGCAAAGCTCAATAATCAACCTGGTGTGAGGGACTATCAAAACATCGACTGAAGTTCCTCAGCCAATTGTGTCCTGCACCTTACACGCGGGTGGCCTGAAGCCTGTCCCCGCATATCCATATTAATCGAAACTGGCATTATTTACGGCACAGAACAGGCACGCGGTGCATGTCAAATCTCTCGATATTAGTCCCAACAGTGCGGCGCCTCTTCCCTCTCGTCCGTACGAAGCTGAACACCTCCACCAATCCATTCACCAATCAAGAGATATCGCGACCATTGTTCCCACGAGGCATTCCTCTAGGATTGCGGCTGGGAAACCAAAGGATTGGTAACAGAAGGTTCCCCGGTCCCCGCCACTGAATTTAGCCTGTGGTTGGAGGGTAAATTCACTATGCCAAGTCGGTCTCCTCTACCCCGCCGCGCCACTATCCCCAACCGGGAACATTCTACGGTAGAACCGGGCGCGCGCTCCGCACGATCTGCGTCCTGGCTCAGAGTCTGGGGTTGTGCCTGGTCTGTGGGTTCTCGAGCGTCTTCGATAAAAGCGGTACTGGTCCCAGGACTTGCAAATATTACCTCGACACAGATTTCATCTTTGACTTCTGGAAACAGAAGCGCGAATTCGAAGCCATGGGTATCATTTCGGCCGCAGATGGAACGTCGGATCCTATCCTCACGCGTATGGTCGCGGAGGACAAGGTGCCGTGGTACAAGAAGAAGAACCTGAGGATCATGTATATCTACCTCTTCCTGTGCTGCATGGGTAAGTCGACATCAACACTATGCTCCGTGTAAACAGTGCTAACTCATAACCACAGGAGTCGAGATGACATCTGGATTCGATTCGCAGCTCATCAACACGCTACAATTCTCTCAGCCTTTCAACAAGTACTTCGGAGCCGGCCACAGGGATGCCACAGGAAAATTGTGGTCAATCGAAGCTGGCCTCCTGGGCTTCATATCCTCGTGCTACCAACTCGGCTCCATTCTTGCTGTCCCAGTTGCCCCATGGTTCAACCAGCGCTTTGGCAGACGCTGGGCTATTATGTTCGGCTCAGGAATCATGGTCTTTGGAGCGCTCCTTCAAGGTTTCTCGCAGCACGTCGGCATGTACATCATCGCCCGTATGCTTCTCGGTGTCGGCATCGTCTTTGCCATCATTTCTGGCTCTGCTCTTATCGGTGAACTCGCCTACCCCAAGGAACGGCCGGTTCTGACTTCGCTCTTCAACGCATCCTACTTTGTAGGCGCTATTATAGCCGCCGGCATTGCCATCAAGACGGTCGATATTGCAGGTGACTGGAGCTGGCGCATTCCTTCAATCCTGCAAATCTGCCCGTCCTTGTTGCAAATTGTCTTCGTCTTCTTCCTACCCGAATCCCCGCGTTGGTTGGTATCCAAGGACCGCGAGGATGAAGCCTTTGCCATCCTTACCAAGTACCACGCCGAGGGTGACGCCTCTTCAGTCCTTGTCCAAGCCGAGATGGCGCAGATCAAGTCCGTCATTCGTCTCGAGATGGAGAACTCCAAGCAGTCTTGGTTCGACATGCTGCGCACCGCCGGAATGCGCCGCCGTGTGCTAATAGCCTGTATGCTGGGTCTCTTCACCCAGATGAGCGGAAACACCTTGCTGTCCTACTACTCCAATTTGCTCTTCACTATGATGGGCTACACCACTTCCTTCGCCAAGACCCGCATCAACATTGCCAACCAGTGCTGGAGCTTGTTAAACGGAACACTTATTGCACTGTTCGTGACCCGCTTCCGCCGCAGGTGGATGTTTATGCTCTCGTCTACGCTCATGCTCCTGGTCTTCATCGGGATGACGGTTTCGTTCGAACGCCTGCGCTTCGCTGCCGATCACAAGTTCACTAACAAATCTGCTGGAATTGCTGCGCTGTTCTTCTACTTCGCATACAGCCCTATGTACAACATTGGAAACAATGCCCTAACATACAGTAGGCCCTCCCGCCTGATCCTATCACTTTTTCCACTGCTAATGTACCTTAGCCTACCTCGTCGAACTATTCCCATACTCCCAGCGTACCATGGGCATTGGTATCGAGCAAGTCTTTGGAAAGCTCGGCGGCTTCTTCTCTGTCAATGTCAACCCTATTGCATTGACCCACATCGACTGGAAGTTCTTTGCCATCTACTGTGGGTGGATCACCTTTGAGTTCATTTTCGTGTATCTCTTCTACCCTGAGACGTATGGACGTACACTTGAGGAGCTGGCATTCTGTAAGTCAACTTCATCCTACACCTTGTGCTGGAGTGAGGGAAGCTACTTGAGAAGCAAGAATCTAATTTCCAAACAGTGTTCGAGGACAAGGAACTCGCCGACAAGGCCGTCGCTGCCGTCGAAAAGCAAATCCACTCCGACGAGGGCCCCAATGGAGAGAAACACGAGATTACTATTCAGGATAAGGTGTAAGGGATAACCTTATTGTATGCAAAGGGGATTGAGACAGCTTGGAGATTTAATAGTAGGTTGAATCGCAAATGATACGGATGGCTGCATGCATGGGACTTGAGTGATACCCAAGAATTCAAGTCAATACTTTCGAGATTCAACATACCAAAGCTGTATTTGCCATATGATATGCGTCTATGTGTTGATCATACCCTTTATGTCCCATGAAGTTTCTCTGCTAAGGAAACGCACTAGATCGAGCCTGCTTACAGGTTTGTTACCCTAATTCCCATAGAGAATACTATCAAAGGATGTCCTAGAATTATTGATTCTAGCAACTATGTTAACATAGAGTTGTTAAATTGTGTAGGCTCCTGGCAGATAGGCATTGTAGGAAATGTAAGGACTCTATGTCTCTGCAACGGCGTGCGTACCATGTCTCGACATCCCCGACCAAACCAAATCCGGGTCTCTTAATAGAAGCATTCCTATTTCCTCTCCTGTACCTTCGTTCCTTCTCAACCCAGTCTTAGATAGAAATCTGCAAGATATAAGCCAATTTTGTAGAAAAGCTCATTTTCTACGATGGCCGTTGGTACTTCTCCGGAGATAATAACTCGAAGCTTGAAAGAACCTGACTTATCTCCGGGAGCAATATACCCAACAACACTCCTGAGGGATCAAACTCCGGCAACATCTCTATCCCCCAAAGCGACCCTCCAATCCACCCGTACCAACTTAACGTATCAGGCAATTTGCGCTGTACGGGTTCATTTCTGATATATGTCTGATGTATACAGTGATATATTGGGGACGCTGGAACAACCCGAGATCTTGGAGACGAAAGCGCCAGAGTAGGTGCAGTAATCTAAAACCCGCTCAGTATTAACCCGCGTAGTATTTGCGAAAGCATTCCCAGGAATGAAGGTGGATGAATTCCGGTAGCTGGGAGACTTGCAGTTGTAATGTAAAGCTCTGTTCGGGAAATCACACTATGGATCAGACTGCTGTGTAGTAGTATTGACACATATTTATTGTCCGTGAGATGTAGTGCTACAACGCGTGGCCGATGGGTCCTTAATTCTTTGTTGTAGATACAAACGATGTCGTAGATGTGGGGACCCTTTAGTCGACGCACGGGGTTTTGTAAATAATAGACTGTACCTTGTTGGCGCATTAAAATGGGCGAGCCAGCGATCGCCAGTGGTAAAGATATGAAAGAGCGGTGGAAAGAACTTCAAAGTTTATACAAGAATGGGAGTCGTTGTATTTAATACCATTGCTAGTATTACTAAGAGACATACCCTACAACATCAACTTAGTATTAAATATCTTTCATACGTAAGCTAGGTAACTAAGGGAATTTTGAATAACCTTTTTGCAGTACTTATTGCTGACAATATTCAGAGCACTAATATTCTTATTAGTATGCAGTCTGCTAGCCCTAATGTCTAATATGTCGAGGATGTCGAGTTTTGCAGCTGCGATATTTTGAAGGACAGATGCACACACCTAGGAAGCGTAAAGTTATCTTAAAACTGGTAGAAGACAATGGAGGCCAATACTAGAAGCTAGCGCAACCTGCGGATTATAATTTCTTCTTGAGAAGGTACAAATGCCGGGAGTGCGCCTTGTTAAGGTGAGACTTTAAAATTGTTGCTACCTGGACTGTATATCACAGATGCCAAAATACCATGTGCGGAATTACGTACACATGTTTATATACTAGTTAGTGTGAGGAGGTAGTATTCAAAATAAGCAGATACTCTCAAGTCTCTGTTAGTCTAGTGGAAATATGTCAGCTCGTGGTGCTGAAGACGGGGGTTCGATTCTCGTAGAGTGGATATATACTCTTTTTTTTGCTTTTTTTTTGCTTTGTAATTCCAGAATTAATCATTTTTGAATGAATGTAGTGCGGATCAGAAATCATTAATTAAGCAGTTTTTCAAGTACAGAATAGGCACTTCAATATTGAATCAATTTTGAAAATATAATGCGAAAGCACCCGCTGAGTTTGTTTACGTCCTGAATGAAAACTGCAGGCTTTATGGTTAGCATCTAGGATTAGGATAGAGTACGCATGGTTAGATCCTATTAAGCCAAATAAAAGATTGATAGTGCGGGCGTAGGAACCCTATAGTAGGATTTCGAGTAATTCACACTTATCGTACAGCTAGTCTCAAAGAGAAAAGATGTCGCGCATCGGAGAAATCAGGACCCTGAATCTGAAAACGCCTCCTGCGGGCCGAATCGAAATCTCCGGCGTTGCTCACATTTGTAGTTCGACGTCCGTGCGAGGACCCTGTTTTGCGGCTATATCCTGCACTAGAAAGGGCCGAGTTACCTCATCGAACGAAGTCCGTCAAAACACATGCAATTTATCCTTGCAATATCGAAGGATTTCTTAATCGTCGGCCCTGATCCGACGCGGATCGATCCAATCGGCAGTGTGAAAGGCATCACGGGTTTTCACTAGTGTATGTGTAGACGTGATTGGAGTATTGATTGGCCGGCTTGTTTGGCTAACGCGTGTCCAAGCCGGCATCTTCGATTTCCAACGGCTTTGGTCCTATACTTTGGGACCTGGAGTCTCGGAGATTGAATGAGAGGGGAAATCTTTTGGCTGAACTGGTCAAGCGAGCGGGATAATGTATATTGCGCCCAGCATCGTTATGGTTCGCATAAATAGAAGTCACTGATTAGGAATACAGCTCGGCACAGGGTCAAGAGTAGGCAGGACGCTCCCGAGTTTTATTCCGTAATCGTAACCAGGATCCATTCAGAGAAACATGCATAAGATGGGAGTTGGTCCAGCCTTCTTCCTAAGACTCTACGTTTCAGCGACTCTGTCAACGTACACTCGTTACTCATCACAGTAACATGAAGTTTACTTGGTTTCGCGCTGCCTCTGGCCTTACCGCCTTCGCAACAGCTATCTCCGCCCAAGCTGTTGTGCCAATTCTATGTCCATCGATCAACGTCACCGCCATCGACAATGTCATTCCAACTACAAACGTTACCCTTAGCTATGGAAACGCGACCGACTCAGCGCCGTCTGTGAATGTCACTCTTGCCATGAGTGCGCCCACGGTTCTCCTCGAAGCTGTCGCTTCCATCTCCATTGTGGACTGCTCTCCGAATTCTGTCGACGTCACATTCACCAATACCGAAGCCTTTTCTGCAGCGCAAGCTTCCTGGCCTTTAGATGGAAACTTCACGCTCATTACCAATCACATGGGCGACTGTGATGTAGAGCTTGAGAGAGGCTTCTTCCTCGTCACGAGTCTGACCTGGAGCAACGATACTTTGAAGGCTACGGCTCGGTCTACGGCGCAAGACATCGCTGCTGCTGCTGGTAAAAGTCACTAAACATTTCCGAAATTTATATGACTAACATATAATATCCAGATACCGCTGAGATCAGCTTCGGTGGTCTTTCTGCTGCTCCTCTAGCTAAGCGAGCCCTTGTCCTCGACCCAACGTTCACTCTCCCGGTCAGCTACTCGCTCGCCCCAGATACCACTCTCTTCTCGTACGCCCCGTACCTGACCGTAGCTGCGAACGCAGCCGACTTCAGCGCAGAACTCACCTTCTCTGGCTATCTGAAGTACTCGTTCCTTCTCTTCAAGCTTGAAGATCTGTACTTCGATATCGATACTACCTTCGACGCTTCAGTGACTCTTTCAGCGAACGTGGGCGCTAAATACAACAACACCTTTACCTACGCCGCCCCCGCTCTCTCGTACTCTTTCGTGAATGTCCCGGGAATATTGTCGCTTGGGCCCGCCGTTACCTTCGCGATTGGCGCGGAGGTCGCCGCTTCAGCTGCTGTGGATATCACGACTACCGTTTCAGTCGACCTTGCAGACGGGAACGTGCATGTCGATGCTCTTCACCAAGCATCGTCGTCGACCTCCGGCTGGGTCCCTACGTACAACGCGGGTGCGAACATTTCCGCCTCGGCTGAGGTCAACATCAATCCCTTCGCGTCTCTGACTGTGGAGCTGGAGATTGAGATTCTCGGTGGGCTGGTCGATCTTTCTACTGGAGTGACGGCGAAGCCGAGGTTCAACAACGAGTTTGTGTTTACGGCTGTGGAGGGTGTAGACCTCACCGGAGTTATTGGATTGAATCCCGATGGAGAGTGCAGCCAAGGGTTGGCTATTCAGAGTGACTTTGAGTTCGAGGTGGATTTGTTTGTTACACAGTTCTACAGCACTACGCTATACGAGTACAAGGCAGATATTGCCGACGTGTGCTACTCGTGGGAAGCTTAGGGGCTTCGCTAATTGAATTTGGACGTTCAGACAAAATTAAATATTCTCGTAAATTGAGTACTAGGTACAGCTCCATCCCATCCTATCCAATTTCACTCTAAACATCGAAGGCTCGAAGGTGATCTTGCATGTGTGAAATTTGCTACTGAAGGAATTTCGAACATTAGGATGGCAGGATTTCGTAGCTAGTGACTCAAAAAAGCAATTGCGCCAAGCCATCCTTCAGGATCGATCATCGGGAATGCAAGATATTCTAAAAACAGTATTTCCGAAATAATACTTTATGAGAAGTACCCTCCACGTCAAGCAGCATGAATTCCAGCACGCTGATTGGTTACTTTTAATTTATCCCTCATAACACTCTCTGCTTATTGCCGTAATTCATTTGATCAAGTCCCGACACCATCTGGCAGATGGAAATTTTGAAATGAACTATATGCTGTGGAACCGGAGAACCAGGTACAACAATTCGTAAAAGCGCGCCTCGCCGTTCAGTTCACGCATCACAACACCTCTTCATTTCACCTCTTAACTTCCATCCCTAGCCTCTTTGCGAAATGATCCTTTCCAACTTCATCTTCGTCTGCTCCCTCGTCTGCTCCGTCGCATCCGCCACCCCCATCGCGGCAGCTGTCAATCCTCCAAAAGGCACCTGCACAATCAGCGCGGTAGATGTCGACGTCGACACCGACGGCAACGGATGCCGGCCAGGCAGTGTTGCCGTCGCTATCTCCGAGGATAACTCTTTGATCAATCTTCTCTTCGACAACTTCCAGGCCGCGATCGGACCGAATGCTGGCGCTGTCAGTAAGCGTGCGTTGTGTAAAGTCAACATCACGATGAGTTCGCCTGGATGGACATTCGATGTTAACACAGTCGATTTCCGGGGATACATTAAGTTGGCGGGGGGCGTGGATATCAGCCTAGTGAGCAGATGGAAGTGGATTGATAGCAAGGGTGTCGATATGAAAGGAAAGGTGCGCGACAAATTGTTCTAATCGTCCCTCCATTGGTATTATTCCTGAAATCAAAAGTATTTTCAGTCAAGTAGTGGAGTGCCACTAATGTACCACACTTCAGGGAAATATGCAAAAACAGTTATCAGGTCCATTCGAAAACGACGTTCTACTCCATAAAGATGGAGAAGTGTCGGATACCGTGTCCTCAGCCTGCTCGAAAACGGCCGCCAGATTTCAACTTACTATCTCCGCTTCTTTGTCTGCAACTGTTTCAAGTGGTTCAGGTGTGCTGAAGGGGACGCAGGATGGAGCTCTAGATCGAGGATTTAGTGAGATTCTGAATCTTGGTTGGAGAAAATGTTGAAAAGTGTTTGTGAACAGACGGTTTCGTGGAGTATAAGTGATGTGATAGTTCGGACAGACAAGAAGAAAAGCTTTACTGCGAGAGAAAGATTAGTTCGAAAAAAGCATGACTAGAGCTACTGTGTGCACGAACGAAAGGTCCAGTGGTATTTTCCCTTATTGTCCGCCCTCTGGCTCCAAGAGGCACCAAGCCATCGCAGATGTTGCTCGAACATCATTCTGCATGTTCCGTTTTACTCAAGAACTAGGTCATGTCACCCAAAAGGCGGATTCTAAAACCAATCATCCTTCATGAGCATCCCAAAATAAAATCTTAGACAAAACTGCTGAACAAGGCGCGCTTCTCAGGACTGGTCTAGTGTGGCACAGCATGGGTGCTTAGAACTACGCTTCCATGCATACATATCGGTACGCTCTGTGTAGGTCTCCCAGGCCTATGGAGTGCATACTTGTTCTTTTAGGAAGTCCTTACTTGTGTTTGACAATAAAGTAGTGGAAACACTAGCTTTACAACCCGAGAATAATCTCTGAATCCCCGAACTACAGAAATCAATATTGCAGGGAAAATGCGAAATCATCTCCGATACAGATGCTTAATTGGGAACAAGATAAAAGGAACTAGAAGAGAGCTTGATAAGATCATAGAGTCAATTACAGAAAGCACGCCGCGTAGCCTCGTTATATCTACCAAAACCCAAAAAGTGTCAAAAAGCATATGAACAAGAAGTGAAGTAAGTACAACCTCCCACCACCAAACCCCACAGCTACTCATTGATCCGATGCTGCCAAACCTCCTGCTCCGCCCTCGCCGAGTACGTACTCGCGCCTAAAATAGCCTGCATTTGCTGCACACCGGTAAACATAATCTGGCGCGCAACAAACCATCTAATCCCCTCATGACACGGCGGGCTCGTCAAGCTACCCTGGTACGTCCAAAACTCATTGAAGTGCAGCACGCTATCCAGCGCTGGCCTCAAGTCAATATCCATCGTCTCTTGAACGTCTGGCTCGAGGAACGAGATCATTGACGGGAACTGGTTGAAGAAGGTTGAGTTGCTGTTACCGGGGTCGAGGCGGAAGGCTAGGACGGCGGCCTCGTGGCCCTCCGCGTCGACGTGCACAAAGTGCATTTCGGCTTTGCTGCGGTCGCCGCCTACAGAGTGGTCAGCGGGCGCATGGATATGCCACCCTTTGAGGTAGAGCGTCTCGTTGTCGTAGTCGAAACTTGGGTGCGAGGTCCAGTCG